ATTTATATATTTATGCGCGATGATTAGCGTGCCTAATTATTATCTTAGATTAGGATTTCAATAGACAAGATGTTTGCAAAGTAAAGTTGGCTTCAAAACTAATCAATTAAATAATCAGCTATATCGGATTTTTGTTTGTTTGTAACGTATGAGATAAATTATTTCTAAACAATTTTTATGATGGCATGTTAAAATTGCGATATTCTATATACAAAATACAAACTCTTTTCTCAGTTCTAAAAACAAATAATATAAAAAAGATTATGATGGGTAACAGTTTCATCATCGTAAAAGACACAGACGTAACTATAACGTTATCCAATTAGAACTATACACACGAAAGAAGTGCCTGTTTTGAAGGACTTCAGGCAACATTGCCACTACAAAACTCTCCCGGAAAGAGGGAATTTCACCTTTTACTGCGTCGTTCTTTATTGGTTTCACACATTCACTTGATGTGTTCACTGCTTTGTCCATAATTGTTTGACTAGAATTTTACGCAGAAATATTTTCTTCACAACCATTGACATGTCCGTGACCGGGTGGACTGTGTTATGATACTGTGTCCAGGGTAAAACTGTTGAAAAATATTTGTTATTTAGTATTAAACTGGTAGGACAAGTGATTGCGTAGTGATGAAACATATCGTTTTTTATGCTATATTCAGTCGCTCTTCCCCGTTACATTGGATCGTGATTTCTGAAATTTCAAAGTTAAATATAGATTTCCAACTAATCTAAAAATGATCGGAAAAGTATCGAACTTTTTAGGTCGGTTTAAATACCTGAATGCTTTAAAGGTTTCTGGTCGGTAGAGTATGTCGTTTCTTAATAGCTTTAGTTCTGGCATGCCATTGTCGTAGTATCGTATACAATATGCATTGTTTATACCCTATTCTGAGCGAATTAAATTTAAAACTAAGTACGCACAAACGTTGATCAACTCGAGTTTGAGGGATATGGTTTTAATAATTTAAATAGTTATGTCGTTTTCCCCATCGTTCGCTGGTTTTAAATATGGCTTTCGTAGGATTTATAACTGTTAATCATTTTCTTCTTGATGTATAATTTACTGATTATTACTGACATATCCGTTAAGTTCGCATGAAAACGGACAAATGTTCTAACAATATGCCGTTAGACATCCACGTGAACGTTCATATCAGTAAGTATTGAATAAACAGTCATTCGTTGCAAAAAACAACAAGAGAATACCGAAGTGTCCACAAAACCGTAATTCGACCTAAAAATAGATTTAACTAGTGCAGATATGAACAAAATAAAAAATTACATGAATATCCCTGAAAAGGTACAAGAAAAATAGGACTTGTTTCTATATTCTACTTGCATATATAAGCTGTTCTTTCTATCTTTTCTTAAGTTTTGAAATGGTGTTTTGGTGCTTTCAAACGACCCAAATCGACACATGTAAAATCATATACTATATGGACACAGTGCCGTATACAAGTAAACATAGCCACTTTATCCATGTACCTGGACCGTAATTGTCCTTATCCGGGGCACTTACGCAACTCGGCAAGGTGTGACAATCCAGGTTAATGGGAGATATAGGCCACAACGAAATGCAAATAACAAATACGTAACGTCAAGTTGTGTTTTCATAACAGTCATACGGTATCATGTATCGGCTTTCCATGTCAGCCACAGGCCCCAAGGTAAAACTCTGGTCACTCATTTAAATGTTATTTACCTGTTCTGTTACCTCGGTTATATATAGAGGATAGTTACTGGTGTCTTCAGTAATAACAAATATATATCACGAGTGTGGCTAATATTTTGATATATTTCACGAGTGCTCAGCACGAGTGAAACATATCAAAATATTAGCATACGAGTGAAATATATTTGTTATTACTGAAAACACCATTGGATTTTCTATTTATTTCGTTTTGAAAGCATAAAGCATGAAAAATGTAATGCATTAAAAAGGGCAGGAATCAGAAGCGTACTAATTACCGCCATATTCTTATGATGTCACGCTTGACAACAAGGCTGCGCACCATTTTGAATGGGATACTCAACGTAATTCCGACGTTTTCTGCTATTTTCTGGTATGATTGCCTATAACAATGTTATTAATTGTATATTTATGTAAATACTTAAGTCTGTGTACCAAACATTAACCATAACAACCACTTATTCTACCGTCGCTTCATTTTAATCTGAACAAACTAATCGTCGTTGCCTTTGAATGCAGCGAATAGAAGATACCGTTATGATTGGTCAAAACAAAAAAGTGATATTTTCACGCTTCGAAAATATCACTTTTAATATTTGTCACAGTGTGAAAGATATAAGTTTTATCAAGTTGAGAGAATCCGATATTTCAGTGGCACAAATGTAATAAATACAGTGTTCCTTATTCCAAACGACTACTTAGTAATCTGGTTACTGTTTCTTTGGATGTATTTATTTACCTGCCGGTAATCTGGTTACTGTTACTATGGATGTCTTTGTTTACCAGCCGGACATCTGGTTACTGTTAATATGGGAGTCTATGTTTACCAGGCAGTAATCTGGTTAGTGTTACTATGGATGTCTTTGTTTACCAGAAAGTCATCTGGTTTGCGTTACTATGGACGCATTTTTTTTTCAGAAAGTTACATGATAACTGTTGCCAAGGGAGGGGGGCGACAGTATGTTTTCAATAAACAAACTCTAGTTAATCAAGATTTGCCTGTATTTAGTGTCAAAGTTAATACGCTCAGAACATAATATAAACAATGCATATTGCATACGATACTACGACAATGGCACGCCACTACAACAGTTATCAAGCAATTGCATATTCTACCAATCAGAAACTTTTAAATCATTGAGGTATTCCAACCGACCAAAGTCCGATACTTTTCCGATCATTTTTAGATTAGTTGGACATCTATATTTAGCTTTAAAATTTTAGAAATCACGATCCAACGTAATGGGGTAAGGCGGAGGCAAATTCATGAAAACGATGTACTTCATCACTAAGCTATCACTTGCCCTATCATTTTAATACTAAATAACCAATCATTTTCAACAGTTTTACCTTGGACACAGTAACATAACAGTCCACCCGGTCAACAGTTTTACCCTGGACACAGCAACATAACATTCCACCCGGTCACGGACATGTCAATGGTAGTGAGGAAAATATTTCTGCGTAAAACACGAGTCAAACAATTATGAATAGAGCAATGAACACATACAGTGAAAGTGTGAAAAAAATCGACGCGGTAAAGGTGAAATTACTTCTTTCCGTTTGAGTTTAAATGATGGCAATGTTGCCTGAAGTCCTTCAAAACAGTCGTTTCTTTCTTGTGTATAGTTATACATTGTTTTGGATTACGTTTTATTTACGTATATGTCTGTTTAAATTATGAAACTGTTACTCGTTATGGTCTATTTCATTAATGAATCTTTTTTTTATATTTTATTTTTAAACTAGGAACAAAGTTTGTATTATGTTTATAGAAAATTGCGACATTAACATGCCATCACAACAATAAATATTAATAAAAAATAGTGACTTCATTCAATTACAAACATGCATATCTTAAAGGTAAGTACACAAACTAAAATCCGATATTTTGCTGATTATTTTCAAGTGATATCAATACAAACAAAGCGAAGCTAGTATTGCTGTGCTTAGTGTTACAGTTCATGTTAGTCACACATTTATCAATACTAGTGAAGAGTTACAGTAACAAGATTACTGTCTAGTTAAAAAAGACGTCCTTAGTAACAGTAACCAGATTACTGTCTTGTAAACGAAGACGTCCATAGTTACAGTTAACAGGGTGATGTGTGGTTAACAAAGACATCCATAGTAACAGTAACCAGATTACTGTCTGGTAAACAAAGACATCCTTCGTAACAGTTAACAGGGTGATGTCCGGTTAACAAACACACCCTTAGTTACATTAAACATATTGCTGTCTGGTAAAGAAAGCATTCATAATAAAAGTTAATAGGGTGATGCCTGGTTTGCAAAGACGCCTTTTGTAGCAGTAACCTTATTGATGTCTGGTTAACAAAGACATATATAGTAATAGTTAACAGGGTGATGTCTGGTTAATAATGACTCCCATAATAATAGTAACCAGATTACTGTCTGGTAAACATAGACGTCCATAGTAACAGTAAACATAGACATCCATAGTTATAGTAAACAGATTACTGTTTGGTAAACATATACGTCCATAGTTACAGTAAACAGATAACTGTTTGGTAAACATATACGTCCATAGTTACAGTAAACAGATTACTGTCTGGTAAACACAGACGTCCATTTTATGGTAAACAGATTACTGTCTGGTAAACATAGACGTCCATAGTTACAGTAAACAGATTACTGTCTGGTAAACATAGACGTCCATAGTTACAGTAAACAGATAACTGTTTGGTAAACATAGACGTCCATAGTAACAGTAAACAGATTACTATCTGGTAAACATAGACGTCCATAGTAACAGTAACCTGAATACTGTCTGGTAAACAAAGACTCACAAATCACACAGGAGACACACCTGATGCCTCAAAAATAAATGTTTTGCTATTAAGCAAACACATGGTTCACAATAAACCATTAGCAAACAAAAAACTATTTTTGTAGTTCGATATCATAGTATAATGACTGCACATGTCTTAACAGTCATTATGGTGTGAAGTCGTGCTACATACAACTCTTTTCGCTTTGCATTTTTGGAATATAGTTGTAAGTAGGAATGTGTAATTCAAACCTTTAAAAAACATATACAATATATTTGATAGGTATATACACTTTCTCTTACTAATATCATTTCTTGTTTCGCAAATATGTTGAAATATTTTTTTACAAAATTAAATTATAATGCAACTTGTTTCCATGGTAAAATAATAAAATATATGAGTAGATTTGCAAGCGAAAATCACTGTTAGACTAATACATTAATATTTTACGAAGTTTCTTTAAAGCAGCATAAACGGAATGAAAGATTGAAAACCACTCATATTACTCACCTTTTTTCTTCAGGTCCTGTTACATGCCTTCATTTGCTCAGAACCTTACAGGAATATGAAGGTTCGCCGCAGCTGCTATTTTTTTATACTGACACCTCAATATAAAAACTTGTGCTGACAACGCAAAACAATTTACATTACAATGCACAGGATTAGGCACGACCGTACGCTCCACTGTTATATATATATATTGAATCCCGCCTGTTTTCGTATTCCGCTTTGCATAATACCGAATAGCGTCTTCAACTGAATAAGCATTTTGGAAAAGTTCATCCTTCCAAGGGGAATTATTAGACATTTCTCAGCGTAAATTGCTTCCTTCCTAATTGCAATGAAAGAAATTCAAGTATAACAAATCTAACATATCAATAATGTTACATTCTTAACAATACAGAAGAGTCATAAAATCATTTAGAAACCAAACACATCTACCAAGAGAGGGGCACAATTTTTCCCATAAGTATGTCAGCAGTATGCTAGAAAGACTTTCTAACCGATTCAGCAACGATATTGTCAAGCAGGAATTTCAACCTTTAACGTTTTCAAAGTATGCTCGTGAAAAGATAAAAATAGATATATATTTTTGTATCGGTGCTCGCTTTCTACGAATAGAAATCTCAAATTATAAAGATTAAAGGCATTCCTTCAGTATGGTATTGTACCGAATAGAAAAGTCGTATGTTCTGATAAAATGATTTTAGGAAAGTATGTTATAGATTGCTTTGAAGATATTTTGTTTTTTTCCGCATTACATTATTATTTTTTATTCCAATTCTGGAAGTATACAGTGTCACAATATAACAGCAATCCTGATTTTATTGTACTTATTAAGAAGCTTTGAAACTAGCTTAATTGAATAACTAGCAGAGGCAGTGACAAACACTTCATAACTTTACGTAGTACAGGAATCCAATAAAATGCAGCAGGTCCATATTTCGATAATTTGCATCTCTCGAAAAAGTTCTTATAGCTTTAACTTATAGTTTTACTGATATCTCCCGTCACTCTATAAATATATTCATTAGAACTGTTGGAGAACAGCGCATATCAAACTATTCAGTAGTAAATGCAATTCAAGCATTTATTCATTAAACATTAGTAATAAAAAAAAATCCACTTCTAACAGCAAACTGTTTTTAAATAAAATGAAGACATGTAAAACTCACCATCCAGTCGAATTTATATATCGCTGTTAAATGAGGTTTGCTTTTTAACTCAATTTCATCGATTATAAGTTTTAATTGTTGTTTTTGCATCTGAAAAAATACAATCGCACATTGCTTGAAATATTGAAACAAACATTGATGCTATATCATATATGCAAACATACCCGCCTGAGCGTTATATTCTGTATAATCAACCGACCAACCTTACAAAATATTTATAAATTACACGATAACCTTGGGTCGTCACTCACAGTTACAAATTACTCCTGATCCGGACTTACATTTATGCTGATTGTACACAAATCCAGGTTAGAATGACATGCACCGTCTATTCTACGAACTAAGGGATCATATTTGCCATGACCGATAATCCGTGTCCCTGCATATTGTGATTAATGATTTCAATAGAAAACAGGTAAGATAGGCTATAATAGCTTTCCAACTAATCTATTAGATCATCTGCAATATGTCTGGCTAGTGCATATTCCTGACTGATTTAGAAGTGTGTGATTGACGCAATAATTGGACGATATAGTTGTTTTGTCTGTTCTAAATTCAGAACATACTGACAGAGGTGTTTGAGGTCTAAACAGAGCCAACCATTATTCATAATAATTGAAGGAGTAATTGTTTCAATGATTTCAATAGGAATGTCAATAGACCTTATCAAACGCAATTCAAACATATCTTTACACATGGAAGAACAACTTGATATACAAGACCGTGTTTTATAAACAGCTTTAAACGATACATCTTTTTAAAATTGGGACCATTTAAATATCAGGATCGGTGATTTTTCATATCTTAGTAGTAGCATACCAGCCTCCACTTCCTATGGAGTTTGCATATCACAGTTAATAAGCATGTCTAGATCCTGTTCCAGGCACCATGACCTTCTGGATACTGATTACTCCTGAACCTTTAGGAAGGGTTTCCTACCGAAATCGGTCTAACCGACGCTTAAGATATGTTTGAAAAAATGGCTATCATCATTATCTGGTTACCCAACTATGATATTCAGGATGTAATACGATTGAAGAATTTTTAATTTTATTTATTTTACAACAATTATGAAACATTTTGTTGCTACTGATATAAATCACTCTTGTTGATTCAGATTGATGAATTGGTCACTGTGTCTTTGACTGTTGCTCACCTCCCGTGCTGACTTTTCTAGAGAACCTGTTTTGCCTCCTGGATTTTAGGAATATTCCTTTTCTTTGTTCAGATGCCTTTCCTAAAGGATGGCAAGGTGATGTATTTTGTCCTTATGGTTGACAGAGGCATGTTTTTTGTCCTTTTTGGTTAATGGGGATCTATTTTTGAACTTTTGGTTGACAGGATAGTATATTTTATTCTTATTTGTTGTAGCTGTGGTATAGTTTGTCCTTGTGGTGGACGGAGTGGTGTATTTTGTCCTTGAGATTGACGAGGTGGCGTTTTTTGTCCTTGAGGTTGTCAGGGTGGTATATATGTTGTTATTATTTGTTGTAGCTGTCGTATAGTGTGTCCTTGTGATGGACGGAGTGGTGTATGTTCTCTTTGTAGTTGACGGGGTGGCGTATTTATGCTTGTGGTTGACAAGATAGTGAATGATCTTCTTGTGGTTGAGAGGGTGATGTAGTTTGTCCTTATTTATTGTAGCTGTGGTATATTGTGTCCTAGTGGTGGACGGAGTGGCGTATGTTATCTTTGTAGTTGACAGGGTGGCGTATTTTGTGTTTGTGGTTGACGAGGTAGTGTATGATCTCCTTGTGGTTGAGAGGGTGATGTATTTTGTCCTTGCGGTTAACGGAATGGGGTATGCTATCTTTGTAGTTGACGGGTTGGTGTATTTTGCCTTATAGATGACGAGGTGGGGTATTTCATCCATGTGGTTGATGGATGGCTAATTTTGTCCTTGTGATTGACGGGGGGGTAAATTATCCTCGTGGTAGACGGAGTTCTGTATTTTGTCCTTGTGGTCGACGAGGTGGTGTATTTTGTCCTTGTGGTTGACGAGGAAGTGTATTTTGTCCTTTTTGTAAATGTAATGGAGTATGTTGTCCATTACACAATCATTTGCTTTGTAAGGGTAACATGATCTACAGCATGTAGAATGATGAATTTTAATTGTTTAGTTTTATTAAAGGGGCATCACGGTGAAGTAGCTTTTTTTTTTTGTCTTTTTTTCAAATACTACATCAACATATCAAGTGAGACTCCTTATTGAAAATACGATCGGATTTAGCTGAAATAGATTCATAAAAATTATTAAATCTAAGATAATCATCGGTATTTCTACCTGTCTGACCAACGTTTTGTTCAGGGATTTCCCTCTACTAGCGCATGCGCATAGCACACCATTTCTTTGTAAACAAAATGACTGGGCGTGTGAAGTAAGCGAAAAAAAAGTGTTGTACCGTGTCAGCTACGAAGCTAAAAGTTGCCAAATGGCCAAAAGATAGCGCAAGGAGTATCTGTACATCTGTATGAAGCCGTGGCCATATTATCGCCAAAACTTAAAAAATAAAATATCATAGAAGCTAATTTTTTGTTTGCGTTTCTTGTGTCTTTGATAATAAAATTTAATGATGAAAATATTAAATTGATATATCTAAGCACAAATTATGTTTATATGTATATGTGTGTTGGTACCTCAGCCTAGCTAAGCATATGACTGTCAGAGTTATCCCCCCTATTACTCCCAATTTCTATCTCAGAATCCATGGTAGGCACAATCATATTTTGTCAAAACAAATTTAAGTTTATATATCTTATTGTTCGCTATTTCCCACCATAAACCACATCCACAAGCTGTATGGTATTTAAGAACTTGTTACTGCTGGAATTTTGTTGTATAATGTAAATTTTCAACATTGGCTGCAATGGATTAACTGTGGTCTCACTGGGAGGAAGCCCTATATGTGTGCAGAAGTGTGGTAAGATGGGTGCTTTGTCACGGTCTTCAGTATTTTCCAGATGTGGTTGGCAGTCTTTTGAGGGAACACCAGTACCGCTTCAGTGCAAATATTTACCATATTAACCAGTTGTCATTAAATGAACAGTTTCACTTGAAATAAGTTTGTGAAGTTCCAAATTGTATTTGCAATTAAATAGCATAACTAATTCGAAGTGCACAGCTGTTTCCAGTGTTTACTTGAATTACAAATATTACTAATGGGACCAATCATTGTCGAATAAGTAATTGTTAAAGTGGGAAAAATGAGGTGTACATTTGTTCCGATTGTCACTTAATTTGTTCTTATTTCAATTGTCCCAAGGGTTTGCAATATTCCACAAGTTACATCAAGTTGATGTGCAGTTATCTCAGTTTGGTTTGCCATATGACTCTAATTTAGAGTCGGTAACCCAATTATATGAAGCCGTGGCCATATTATCGCAAAACCTTAACAAATAAAATATCATATAAGCTAATTTGGTGTTTGCGTTTATTGTGTCTTTTCGTAATTAAGTAATTTTGGTAAGAGAACTCACAATGTAATATTTTTATTGATTTAACTAATGTATGATTTGAGCAACCTATTCAAACATATTTCCTACATTGAATAAAAGGTGAGCAGGCAGTTTTTGTTTCAGTAGGGGCTTCCCAATGGAAATCTACAGATCTCAGTATGTGCTGTTAAATTTTGTCAATTTTCGGCTAATTTTTCAATAAATAATTTCTTTTAAAAAAAAAATCTGCATATTGGCATTTACTGGTGACACATGTTTAAATTAAATAACCAAGTAGATACATATAGTGCAGTCCAATTATAATGTATACTTTCCTTCAATAGATTAAAGCCTCAGCGCTTCAATGCATGATACCTTTAGCTAAGAATGTGGAAGGCCGTTGAAGTGAAACATTCGTTTGGTACTTTCTAGGAAGTACAAGGGTCTTCATCGAAGATATATTACATCAAA